TTCCCCAACGATGACTACTTCCCCGACGTCGACAACCTCCTCGACGACATGGCTGGCGAGGACATCGACCCCAAGTCCAGTACTACTGATGCTGCTATCACGTATGTGTTCATCTTCCTTCTGTTAGATGTCCTGCCACAGTTTCTCATACTAGTACTTTCCCTAGATGTGTTAGGTTCTACTCCATAAATGCAACTAGTTCTACAGTCTACTCTAGATATGCTAGGTACAGTTCATATATGCAGATGTTATTTACCTTCTCTCTGTCAGAACGCATAACTTGTTTTATCTCTACTATATTAGTCATGCTTTATCTAGTACTTCTGTTAATAAAATCATTTGGTAAATTGCTCATATTTCCAACAGGTTCTACCCCAAGGATCAATGTGAGTGTGCCACCCAAGGCATCTTCCCCAGTTTTTAGGTACATCACTCGTCTACGGGCCACAAGGAAGACGACGCATCTGCCACTCACTGAGCCAGATGATTTCAGAAGTTCCTCAGGACGTGTTGTGTGTGGATAGGTTGTAAGTCTGCTAGATGTATAGTGGTCATTTTGAGCACACCACAACGACCTCTTCTTTGCCAACCTGCCGCGCGATCTCTTCCCAAAATCCATCAAAATTTCCAGATCCGCGCTCATCTCTTCCAAGCCCGCTGGCGATTGTGAGGATGTAGATCGGTTTCCCCACCATCAAGCATCCCTGTCCCGCACTTGTTCCCCGTGGTAGAACTTTCCACGGGCAGAACCTATTCCCTGTGAGAGTAGAAATCAGTTCGTCTTTCCCATGAGAGCCCTCCCCTATGAAAGTCTTTCACATCCGCCGGGGTGCGCGATCATAAGAGTGTTCTTTCCTGGATTGGTTTTCTAAAGAGGGATGGCCATGGGTGATAGGAGGGAAGAAGGCTGGGTAATCTGCGTTGCCCTTTTACTGCATTGGAATGCAAAGATCTTGGCAGGAATCATTTTTTGTTTACTTTCCATGATGAGAGTAGCAAGAATCGGTTTTTGTTTACTCACTGAGGCTCAACATCTATTATACACCTATTGTTAGTAAAATAATGCAAGGAAATAAATTGAAAAGAGCATAAACTTGGTAATATGAGATGTGCGGAAGGGAACACTTAGTATGGAGTGAAGATGTGGTGTTGAACCATATGTTGGTTTGGCGCGACACCATGCCACCTCCCACCACTAAATATACTCCATCCACATATGAAAAATCGAAGTGTCATTGAAAATCAAGGTGTTTATGTGGTTTGTACATAAGAGAGTAATTTTGACAAATGATAACTTGGCAAAGCGTAGTTGGGCAGGTAGTAAACGATCTTGCTTTTATGATCACGACGAAACAATAGAACATCTTTTTCTCCAATGCCCATTTGCTAAGTTATTGTGGCAGACCATTCACGCGTCCTTTAACATTACTCCACTTGTCACGGTTTCGCATTTATTTGGGACTTGGCTAACTGGGATAGAGGCTAAAACTGGGCACATATTCTAGTTGGAGTGTGTGTGTTACTTGGGGCCATATGGGATTGTTGGAATGATGTTGCCTTTAACAAACAAACAATCATGAACTTTTTGCAGGTTATCTTCAGGGCGTCTGCTTGGATCCCTACGTGGTCGCTACTCAGCCATGTGGATCACAACGAGCTTATGGAAATTGGATGCAACCAATGAGAGATGGTTACACGAGATACTTATAACCGGTTTGGATGGTGGTCCAACAATATGATGTGTGTCTAGTCATCTTACCCTATTTTTTGTGACAACTTATTTTCTTTTGAGTCATAGTACTTGTTTGAGACCTTGTTCTGAACCTAGATTTTTAATAATATGGTTTTGTGCATCAAGAGATGCAGAGGCCGGGGGCATTCTCCCTTGAGAAAAACTACATATACATGAGAGGATGGTAATACGCTCCGACCTATCTCCTCGCTTATCTCTTTCACTGCCTTGTCCTCCTATATATGTATCCTCCAGAGCCGTGTGGGTACGCCATGTTCACCGCAGCTTCACCTTCCTTCGGTCCTTCCTTTGACCTCCATGAGCTTTTGCGTGTTGTTAAGTTCTGAATTCCTTGCATTGCCAACTTATTTTGCGTCTTTGATTGGTAAGTTTAGAGCTTCATACAGGGTTGGACGATCATGCCTAGCTGAAACATGTCAGCTACCGGCCATGTAGTTTCCTAACAGAATTTCACTTAATGAAATCGAGAGCATATCTTCACCGGGGAATAAGAAAAAAAGACAAATCTGTATTGACCGGAGAACATTTGAGAGCTCTGTTTTGTTGTATCTTGTGTCTTGACTGGCATCCAGAAGACATCTTTCACTTGAACTATTGAGATGTATAATGATGTTGATATTGTCGCAGAAGGAAAAAATGTCACATGCCAATTTCTAGGAAATGATAAAATTCTTAAAACTGTTTTTAGCTTTCATGAGAACAAAAGAACAGAATATGTGTCCACTGTATTTGTTTTCTCTTTTGTCCCATTCACCAAGTGAAGTATTTGGCCCTTCCTAGGAATGAAGAGAATGAAAGGGGCACGTCTTTGACTCTTGGTGCTTAAGCAAGAGGAATGAGCTAATGTGAAGTGATATCTTATAACGTTACAACTGAGAACGCCTGGTGCGGTCACGGTTAAATATTAGAGATGTTGTGTAAAACATGGGCTAATTGCTTCTGAACCATGTTATAGGCCTTTTCATGGCATGTGACTAACTGAAAATCGCTTATCTTTTGTGGGTTTTCCTCATATATTGTTTATTTTTTAGTTTATGCTTTAGAACTTACAGTTTCAAATGAATTTTGACACTGCAGTTCGCTGGTGTACTGCTTCGATGAGTGCTTATTTATTAATTACTATACTTACTGGTTCTGCACACACAAAAAATCCCTTATTGATTAATTGTACTACTCGATCTTCTTCATTGGTTACTTTTCATTGAAATATGAAGATGCATGCCACTTTTTTTTTCTCGAAAAGAAAAAGAAAAACTATGCAACAATAAAGATAAGTCGAACCAGAGCATCTAATAGTTTGATTCGTAGGATTTTCATATAAATTTTCTAGTACATGAGCTATTATAATTTTTCTCTAGGTGTGTCATTTAAGTTGTAAGAATAAATCCCATATGAAATTTCCCATTTATGATTCTTTTGCTCTATATTCTTAAAAGATTCATTGAGCTCAAACCTGTTCGAAACAATCATTTGTTTTTGCTACGTCCAATCACAGAGAATTGTACTCAAACTTAAATGTTTATAATAAATATTCTCAACAACCATACACCGGATGGCCAACAATTTATATGCCACCACCAGTCGGTTTGTGTTCTCGCATGTTTCAGAGTCACCCAGTTTTGACACATATGAGAAAACCCCCTATTAGCAAAAGAGGGAAAAAACTATGCAAGAACAAAAGTTCATACTGAGAATAGGAGGCATCTGGAAGAATACGCTGAGTTGGTGTTGTACTGCATGCTTGGTACGAAGTGAAGACATGGGGTCGAGGAAGAATATGCTCAGCATGACTTGGAAGCCCTGCTTAGCATGAAGGGAAGGCATGGTGTCGAGCCCCATGATTTTTCGACACACATGATCTGCTCGAGGTGTCACATTCTCTCCACGCCTTCCGTCTTTTCTTCGGAAGGCATTTTCTCTACATGTTTCTCACAAAAAAACCTAATTTATTGCGCATGAGAAGAAAGGGAAACAACGAAATATGTTTGGGAGCCCAATAAGGTTTTCCTTTTGATTAAGGTGATTTTTGCTTCTTCCTGTTTGCTGCCTTAAGTTCAAAGTCACCCACAACACCCTCCTCGAAGAGTCCTCTCCCACTACTACTACAGTGACAATTACAACAGGTGCACATGCACGAAGACTTCCCGGCTGTTATCAACGAGGTCAAGCTGCCTCCGATAGGGGAGGGGCATTAGTTGAGCGTCGGTGGCTCGTTCTGGAGACGCTAATGGCCGTTCGGTGGTCTAGACATCTCCATGTAATTTTTATTATGTTTGAGGTGCTCTATACTTCTGATGAACTTTCATAATAGATATGAATCTTGTCATAAAACGGATGCATGGTACTTTTATTCCCAAAAAGAAAGCTAGGCAAGAATAAATATATATCAAACTAGGCCTATAGTTTGATCCGTAGGATTTTTTGGAAAACAACATTAACTATTATAAATTTTTTCTCTAGGTGGATCGTTTAAGTTGTAGGAATAAATCCCATATGATTTTTGTCATTGACGTTTCTTTTGTTCTATATTCTTAAAGGAAAAAAGAAACCATATTTATGTAGAAAGGCTGAAATTTAAAAACCATTGATTGAAACCCATTTGAAATAATCATTTGTTTTTTCCTCATACAAGCAAACAAACTTTCATAAATGTCTTCAACAACCATGCATTGGACGAGCACCAATTTATATGACACCACGAGCCGACTTGTGTTCTCCGCATTTTTCAGAGTCACAGAAATTTCAACATCTCTCAGAAACCACCTGATGCCAAAAGGTGAAAAGAAAACCATGCAATCGTCGCTTCATCTTGAGAATAGGAGACGTCGGGAAGAAAACGCTCAGTACGACTCGGAAGCCCCGCTTAGCATGAAGCGAAGGCATAGTGTCGTGCCCCATGATTTCTCGACACAAATGAAATGGCGGGGGCGTCTTTCTTCGGAATGCGCTTTCTGTACATGCTTCTTGCAAAAAAGAACTGATTTATTCCCCCTGAGAGGAAAGAAGGAAAAAAGAAATATGTGTGGGAGCCCAATATGTTTTCCTTTTGAAGGTGTTTTTTGCTTCTTGCAATTGCTTTCCTTAACTTCGAAGTCGCCCACACCACCCCCCTCGAAGAGTCCTCTCCCACTACTACTAGTAGTCGTCTTCCTCCCTTCCACGCTTGCACATCAGCGCTAATCCAATCCATCCATCCCCTAATCACCACCGCCGCCGGCCTAATCCCCTTTCCTCTGCTACGCGCGCGATGGCGGCGGCGACGGCTCCGGTGGAGGTGCCCGTGGCGGCGCCGGTGAGTGCCCTCTGCCCCGCTCCCCCTCTCCCCTCTCGCTGTCTAGAATCTTCTTCTCGGTCGCTGCTGGCGCTGGATCTGGCCGCGCCAGGGCGGGCGACCCCCGTGATTTCGCCGGCGCCCGTGCCCCTTCCGCGAGCTCCGCAGGTTAGGGTTAGGGTTTGGCGAATCCGTGCTTAGCAGGGTCGTCGGAGCTGGAAGGAGCCGCGCGCCGCCTTGGTTCGGGTCGGAGCGCGAGATTCGTGGCCGGCTGATTAAGCTAGCGCTCGCCGGTTCCGTGGGGCTGGCGAAGAGGATTTTTTTTTTCAAAAGTTTGAATACTGTTTGATGTCTGTGATTTGTAGTACTAGCTGATTAGCTGGGTTTGTGCCACTAGCTGATGATTTTAATCTGTGCATTTGTTTGTTGTGATGACAAACTTCGGGATATCGATTCAGGTTGGAGCTCGAGATCGGTTGCAGCCGGTTGGTTAAGTTAGTATGCGCCGATTCTGTGGGCTAGGATAAGATGATTGCTCGAAACATGTTGACCTGTACTAGCTGATTATGTGTGGTTTGTGCTAGCTGATTATCTCTGGCTTGTGCTAGCTGATTATCTGTGACTTCTGGTAGCTGATTATCTGTGGTTTGCGCTAGCTGATTATCTGTGGCTTGTGCTTGCTGATTATCTGTGACTTCTGCTAGCTGATTATCTGTGGTTTGCGCTAACTGATTATCCGTGGCTTGTGCTAGCTGATTATCTGTGACTTGTGCTAGCTGATGTTTTTAACCTGTGAATTGTTTGTTGTAATAACCAACTCTGTGATATCAAGTTCAGTCTGTCGGTGACGCAGATCCTTGCTTGGGTGATGCGCGTGATTGAAGCCTGCTTACGTGTGCTCTCTAAGTTGAGCGAAATCCTTGTTTGTGTTGGGAGTTCAGAACACCTTGTGCTTATCTCACTAGCTTGTTCTTTGGGTTATATGAGATGACCTGCAACTCGATTAACAAATGCTGATGTTTATATGTGATTTAGGGTGAAGTAGCAAGCATATATGCGTTAAGTTATAACCATTTGTAAAGTTCTTACCGTAGCAAGCATATTTGAGTTGGGAAAAACAATCGGATGATTGTTGTCGAGTTTGGTTTAGAAGATCAAGCTGATTGAGGTGGCTCACTGTGCTTTTTAAGTTTGCAAGAGTGCTTAAGAAAAATGGATTGATTTGTGTTTATATGAGGAAGCATGAGCTTAAGTAGTTTGATTCAGTACATCAACTAAAGCCCCACTTGCATGATAACTCAACTGTTAAAAGCCTTTGCTTGACCATGGATTTCCTTATGCAGTGTGCTATTTGGCTTTATTTTTGCTTCCCTGTTTGTTTCCCTTTGTAGTTGTTCTGTAACTGATAATGTTTGGTAATGACAGGTGAGGACTGTGAAGGTCACAAATGTTTCCCTGAGTGCAACTGAGCAAGACATTAAGGAGTTCTTTTCTTTTTCAGGAGACATTGAACATGTGGATATGAAAAGGTTTGTAAGTTTGTAATATTTGCACAATAGGATCATATACTTCTATTACTTTTCTGAATAGTATTTTTACTTGCATTATCAGATTTTGATTGCTCTATTTTTTTTCTCAGTGGTGACGAGTGGTCTCAAGTTGCATATGTTACTTTTAAAGATGCCCAAGGAGCAGAGACTGCGCTCCTTCTTTCGGTGGGTAATTGAAGGCCTTTGTAGGATTCGGTTCAGCTGCTACAATCTTCTCTCCAATTGTTCACTATTTCTTTAATCATTGTCTCCCAACAGACCTCTGCCAGATTCCATTGCCACATTTAGATGTGAAATGTTTATGTCAGATGTTTCAGACGCCATACCTTACTTTTACATGCTTTTCATCTCAACAGAAGTAGTATCTAAACCTTGCAAATATATAATTCTTCAGTTGCTCTTTAATCCAGTTAATGGTCAATCGCCTTGCAATTCTTACTCAATGATTTTTCTGAAAGATAAAGCAATTGTGGAGTTTAAGCACAGTTCTCATTTTCATAGGAGCGACATCTATGGAATATTGTCTTGTTCTCTTATGAAAAATATCTCTGAGCAGACATTTTATCTCATTGTAACAGGGCGCAACAATAGTTGACCTTTCTGTTATCATTGCACCTGCTCCAGAGTATCAACCGCCCCCTACTGCCTCTGCTCCACTGGTATGTGATGCCTCAGTTTACCATGTTGGCCTGTTTAATTCTTTTGTGTGTTGTGTCCTGAGTTGAGGCACATATGATAATTCTGTATGTATGTAGGTCAGTTGTGTTTTTCTTAAATTCACTGAAACCGTACTGATTTTGTTCGACATCATACACTTTATGCATATTCCTCTTTCTTTACCATAAATGAGATCAAAGTTTCAATGAAGGTTCATGCTTAGTTGTAGTTAACAAATGACCATCAGAAACCCATGACATATTTCACAAGGTTCCATCTGACGGGCCTCTTGATTTATTTATCTGGAAGGCATACTCAGTACCCTTAATGTCTTGCATCCTATTAGTACTAAACCAGGATGCAGTGGAGCTCTGGTGTCCTGCTTGTATTAGACTTAAGATCTTTTATGCCTGGTATTATGCTCAACTGTATGTATTTATCTCTTTGGCTTTCAGACGTTCCAAATTTTCAAGTTGTGGAGTGTGAACTAGTGCTGGTGTTCATGCACCAGACCTAGATTTATGTTACTGGCAACCTTAGTTCAGTAGTAACATTGAAAGTACAATTGAAGTATGTTGTTGTAATATCGAATATTGTCTTGTGTTTTCAGATGAGTGGAACCAGAGTACCAGCGGGTGGTGACAATGTGGTCCACAAGGCTGAGGATGTTGTCAGCACTATGCTTGCCAGGGGTTTCACCCTGGGCAAAGACGCCGTTGGCAAGGCGAAATCTTTTGATGAGAGGCATGGCTTCACATCCACTGCCACCGCCAAGGTGGCCTCCATCGACAAGAAGATAGGGCTCAGCGAGAAGTTCACCATGGGCACTACAGTGGTAAACGAGAAGGTCAAGGAGATGGACCAGAAGTTCCAGGTCTCTGACAAGACCAAGTCGGCGCTGGCTGCGGCCGAGCAGACGGTGAGCAACGCAGGGTCCGCCATCATGAAGAACAGGTACGTCTTCACGAGCGCGTCGTGGGTCACCAGCGCGTTTGGCAAGGTTGCCAAGGCTGCCACCGACGTCAGCACGATGACGAAGGAGAAGATGTCAGCCGAGGACCAGCAGAAGGGCTCCGGGGGCAGCTCGTACACGCCCATCCGCTGATCCTCACCCCCCGTTCCTCTATGTGCCTTGCCATGTTGTATTATTTATTGGTGGATCAGAAGACAACATTAGATATATAGAACACATGAGATCACCCCTTCCATATGTGAACTTTTGCAACCCAGGATTATTTTCTCTCTTTGTAGAAGAACAGGAAATTTACTTTGGGGTTTTACATGTTACAGAACTGTTCAAGGTAGAATTGGAATGAACCTTTTACTTGGTTATTAAGTTGTGGAAGGGTGCTGTAATAATATTGCTAGTGGCTGTATTTGAATTGCTCGCACGAAAGCTTATTTCGTATGGTTGTTGCATCTATCAAATGGTGGTGTAAAGTGCTTCTATTTAAGCATGAGAAGTGATGGAACTAGGTCATGGCTCACAACGAAGCCCTTCTGTGTATCCGAGGGCGAGCAATGTGTAAAGTTTCATCGAGCAAGGTGTAAGGTTTCGTCGTTTATAGGTTCATACTTGCATATACCACATAAGTGATCCACGCAAGGTTTGCACTTAGTTTGAACAGCCTTTGATATGCTGCATATGACCATATACACCACATGCATTTGCACTGGACACGAGTTTAGCACTTAGTTGGAACTGATTTTGTAATGTTGTTGAAACCCACAAACATCCTGGGACTTGGAAGCATCGGGATCACTGTCTGCACGGTCTTGCTTTCCATGAATTCAGATTTGCCGTGATGGTTAGCATGAGATCAGTGAAGGACTTTTCTTGTGCGCACTGCTCTGGCACTAGCACATTTGATTCAAATGGTACAGAGTATTTTTGTAAGTGGAACTCTCCACTCTATTTTATTCCGTCAGACACATTGAACATCAAGTAATGGTGCCTTAGATGTTTTATCTTGGCTAGCACGGTGTCAACATCTATAAGAACATCGACTGCGGTGTTTCTTTAATTGGTGAAATTTATATTTAACATATTATTCTAGAGAATTATTTGCTATAACCATCATACAAACTCATAAACTAAAATGTTTTGGGGCACTACTAGGCGCCGGCGCGCCCAGCGTTGGATCCCACGCGTACCAACAGCCTAAATAGTCGCAACTTCCTTCTCCAAAGCAAAAAAAGACAGCAGCCCTTGGGTCATCTCTTTCTTCCGCACACACGCCAGAATAGAAAAGGGGAAGATTCTCTGTGCTCGTCGGCCGCCTCATGGTCGCCTGCGCCCGTCGGCCATCCCTTGCCGCTCATGCTAACACCGCTTCCGTTGGTCGCAAAAACATGGCCGCCATCCTGGTAGTTTTTTTTGTTGTCACTCGTAGCAAAATAGAGAGACGGTTGCAGCAAAGACATCGTCACCGTCGCCATTGGTTGAAGCTCGTCATTGCAGGTCGCAACATTTCCGTCGCCAGATCTCCGAAAGAATGAATGTATGTACCCAAAAAAACCACTGGTTGTAGCCAAAAACAAACACGGTTGTAGCAAAAAATCAACGTCGTCGCCATCTGAGGTTACAACCACACCATGAAAAAAGGATGTAGCAAAAAAGTACAACGGTTGCAGCTAAAAAGTGATAGACGCAGCTAAAAAGTACAACGGATGTAGCAAAAATCCTCTCGCTCATCTTATCTCTTTATCTCCAACCCCTCTCTCTTTATCTGTTCCTCCCGTCACGCGCGTGGGCACGTGGGCCAGCAAACCACGCGAAAGCCTCGCGTGGCGAAGAGATAAGGGAAAAAGGACTCAGCTCGCACATGTGTGGGTCCATCCCACGACGCGTGCATGCGTGACTGCGTATAAAATCAGAGGATGGTCACCGACAATGATGGCCAACAGCTCAAGACCAGCAGTGTGGGGGTCAAGAGCAGTACTAGCAATACGATAGTATAAAATCAGAGGAGTGACTTATTACAGGGTTGTAAAGAATCATGCTTACTCTGTGTGTGAAATCATGGTGTTTTGGTGCGAATGAAATGTTATAACCTGTTTATGATTTAAAAAATTTACATTTTTGTTCTTATTATCTAATGGTACAAAGGCAACGCCCAACCTACGAAACAACAATGTTCTATGCAATGAAATGTCCATTTCCTGCCTCACAAATCCCTCGGCTTTGCCAAAGGACACGAAGGGGGTTTAAGAAGGACATGATGGGTCAGACAAATAGAAGCACCCCTCTCCCTTGTCTCTGTTTTGGCATGTGCTCAATCCAGATCGGCATTTTCTGGGGTCCAAAAAATCATTTCATCTCATCACTTAGAAACCAACAACGTGTTTATATAGGTTGACAAGATTGTTGAGTCATCTTTGTAAATCGTTTGTAACATAAACTGTCAACCCAGTCATTGTAGCATAGTGGTATGTATTCATGCCAGTCACGTGGGTGGCTTGGGTTTGATCCCTTGCAATGGCGTGTTTGTCTTCATTAGTAAAGCTATTTTTTCGCTTACAATAGTTCTTGGCTTTTTAGTATATATGTACTCTCCATCCTTAGTAAATATTTTTTGACATTTTAGTACATAGTGCTCTCCATCCCCAGCAATTTATCCACAATACAATGTTTTCCCCTCATTTTTGTGCGGATTCTTGAAAAAAAGTATAAGTTTGTGTATTCACATTCGGTCCAGTCCAATTAATTTTACAACATAAACTATTTTTGTAAAGAAATTTATTTCCATTTTAACATAAACTTTCCATCCCTAGCAATGGCCCCTTTCCATTTCCTCCCGGTTTTGGCCAGACACTTTTTGCAGATTCTTGGACGAACAACAAATTAATCATTGTTATTATTGTTCAACAATCATCACAAAGATGTCTAAGTGACACATAATTGTGGTGGCCACAAGACTAGAGGAGTATGTTGTCAATGTTGGGCACTGGCCGGCTGCCCGTAGCCCTACCCCAAATTTCATTTGCCACTTTCCCAGCACATACTACAAAATAATAGTTTGATATTTTTTTTTACTGCGTGATCTTATATTGTTGATATTATGATTGCTTAGGTCTGTTTCTACTCTCATAGTGACGATTTATTATCTTTACCACGTTCATACTGAAGATGCATGCGACTTGAGATGGCGAATGCAAAGGCTTTGTCAAGTTATGGACTTATGGTCATCTACTACACTTTGAGCTTGAAATGGTATGATCACCATCTATCTACGAGGTAATGTATTGAGGGGATAACTATAGTAGTTTAGAAATATCCATATGCTGCTTTTATGGCAGTATTGAAATGCTGACATGAAAGCATTCAGCCCATGGTTGTTGTGCCATATGGTATCAAATGGTACAACAATGTATGTAGTAGTGTTCCTATTTAAGCACGAGAGGAGAGATGGAATATGATGATAACTCACAACAAAACCATCTTGCACACCTGAGTCCGAGCACGGCGTAAGGCTTAGTCATTGCTAGGTTTTCATACTAGCATATACCACACACGCAATGCACACAATTTTTCCACTTAGTTCGAATAGCTTTTTATATGCATGCTAGGTTTATATCAACATACAACACATGTGTACACGATGGATACAAGTTTTGCACTTAGTTGGAGCTGCTTTTGCAATGTTGATGGAAACCAAACACATCCTAGGACTGGAAAGCATCAGGATCTCCGGCTGCACTAGATTTTCTTCTTGAGAAAGTAGTAATCAACAACCTCGTTAGCTTGAGAAGCACTCTTCTTCAGAGCATTGTTGATCTGGGACACGTGATTGGGGTAGTACAAAACATAACCGTGTGTGTTCTGCGCATGCACTCAGTCCAGATCAGCATACCAGAGTCCATGGTTGCAGATCTGGTGGATGTATTAGACTTGGACTAAAGTGAGCCAATTTGAACATATCAACTTTAACCATATGACAGTCTATGGACCGAGTGCGCTTAAATACAAGTTTAAAGACCCGCGGTGCATTAACTCAATGTCAAATGACCTTGTTGGTAGCCCAAAAGGCTAGCAAAAATGCAACTTTGGAGGCTACAATCATGACAGTAAACAAAGTGATATCTTAGCAATTCACATATTCACTCACTGACCAAAACGCTGTTACGAGGACATGATAATCATGTTGTGATAATAAAAGTAATGTAGCTTAATCTATCATTAAGTATTCCTGCCTGTCACGCGGGTGACCCGAGGGATCATATACTCTTCTCCTTTTCTTTTACAAAATACCGGGCATTTTAGCATATGTTTTCCACCTCCTTTCCATTCTGTATTGTCGTTTGTGTAGATCCCTGGAGAAAGAGCAAACTAAGCATTGACATTACTATTCAAAAAAAGTTGTGTTAGTGAGTGACACACAAGAAGAGGAGTAACTTGGCACTCCTGCCTTCAATTGCCACTTTCCCAGTAGCAGTACTACTACCATGGGTCAATTTGGCCTACAAACCTGCACAAATGGCATCACCACCTAACCTAACCATCCTGCAAGTCACATCCATGCCTACCTAGCTAGCCCTTAAATAAGCAAATAACCATCATCCACGTGTGTTGGATTAGAGGGATAGAAAGGAAATGAACAATAGTGTCTCACTGACTCGCTCTTAAAACCTGCTTACAACTCAAGCTGAGTAGGAATGGTTTTTCTTCCACACAAGAAACTTCCTTTTTTCCAATGGTTTGGACAGGACCTTGTGGATGTGTATGTGTATGCGCCTGGTAGGAACCTGGAGGCACTGTTGCTAGTCAGCTAGGGATATGAATCACTGTCATGACACTGTTGTCTGGATTTCCCATGCTTCTCAAGTATGCCTTTGACCCCCAATCCAAAATAATTGTGCCAAAATACTGCTTGCTAAATTAGCTACAATGCCTATTGTCTTTCTGCTAATTAAAGGTGGCTTCAGGCCTACTGTTTTTGCATATGTTACTTTTAAAGATGCCCAAGGGGTAGAGACTGCACTTCTTTCGGTGGGTAATTGAACGCCTTTGTAGGACTCATGTTCAGCATCTACAATCCTCTCTCCATTTGTTCACCATTCTTTAATCCTCGGCCCTCAGCAGAACTTTGTCATATTCCATTACCA